ATCTGGTGTCTTTTTTTTTTACTCCGCTCCCTTGCATTCTTCTTTCCTCTGTATTTGTGTGTGTGTGTGTGGTGTGTCCTGGTGCTCTCCCGCGCTCTGCTGTGTGTGTCGTGCTGTGTGTGTTTGCGCGTGTGCGGTGTGGCGTGTGCGTGTGCGTGTGCGTGCGCGTGCGCGTGCGCGTGCGTGCAGGTTCTCTCTTCTTCTCTTCATTACCCTCCACCTCATCTTTTTCATGTACCATAAACTTATCCAGCTATTCTGGTAATCATCCAGCCTCAAAAACATTATTCGACCGATCTTCACCTCGAAATGATGTGCCATCATCTTCTCATGTATATCTATATTTCTCTTGATATCTGCTGCCATATCTGTAAATTGGCACATCAGCACAATTTTGTAGCTTAAAGATTCTATCCGGTGCTCAATACAATAGATCATCTTCCAGACAACGTCTTGAGATCTCTGCCTCTAGGTTCCTGCACTCTAAATCCTCTAGATTTACCCACACGCACGCACCTTTAATTTCTCCGTGATGACATCTACACCGATGCTCGCGATATCGAACAGTATCATAGCATCGCCAACAGCTGATATGCAGCTAGAGCAGCGAGTGATATCACTCCTGGGCAAGTAAGCGACGTCGCAGCGTTGCGATTCGCATCCGTGTCGGCGCCGTCTCTTTTTCCGGGACTGTCCGAGCGGGCGTGTCCGTTCAGGGGCACGGTGACATTCTCCCATGTGTTGTGATTAGTGTCCGCTGATGGCGACGTGTCCTGCAGGTCCTCGGAGGAGCAACCGAACCACCACTTACCAGTGGATCTCGGGTAGCCATCTTCCACCTAACAACAGACATGATTCACGTGAGAAGGCATCGTTCGAATAGTCGTGATATTAACACGTGAGGGGAATTAAAATTATAAAAACTAAAAATTAAAACGGGGAATTAAACCGTCGTGATATTAATTCGTGATATTGCATACGACGCAAGGAACCTCAGCGCCGTCGTTAATGTTGACGCTAACTGCCACGTGACGCCACGTTGACGTGACGCTAACTGTCACGTGAGGACGCATCGTTCGAATAGTTGTGATATTGCACATGACGCGCCGTGAACAATGAACGTCCGCGCCGTCGGTAATTTTGACGCTTGATGATGATGATGATGATGATGATGATGATGATGATGATATTCGTTGACTTAGATGTTGATCATGTATACTACTGCCATGAAGGTGAAGTATTTTGTAAACTCATCTCCATTGAATTCTCAAATTGTTATTACTTGTGAGTTGTGTTATTAGCATGCATAGGGTAGACGGTTTTGTTAACCAATACATGCTGAGAATGTGGTTGAGACTCTCACTCAGTCATATACCAAGAGATTTTGCATGAAAACTATATAAATGTACAGTACCGGTTAATTGTGTCGTGTTGCTAACGTACCTACTATATGTACTACGGCTTGTCAAAGCTTTATATATACAGCTGTGTTTTTCACACTCATGTAGTAGTTGCAAATGACAGTGTTAGCAAAAAATAGCAACTAATATCATAACAGTTTCATGCGTCTTTTTAAAACTCTGGTACTCACACCAACAGTTCATAAGAAGATAACAATAGCTTCAAGCATGAAACATTTATATCTCATTGATATTCAGTGTTAAAATGATTTTTTAACATGTGATACTTAATTAGAATAAGTTAGAAATTATCTTTCGATGTCTGAAATTGCTAAATAAGTGGCCAACAACGTCCGTACTTGAATCCTTAATAGTTCCTTTGAATTGTTTTACTTGTGCATTTCACTCATAGGTGAGTCTAAAAATTAGACTGTATTCTACTATTCTTATTACTAATTAATAATTAAATATTAATTCAGCGATAATAGTGGCATAGCTTCTCGTACTATAGGTAACTTATTTATTGTAGTCAAAAACTTATTTATTAATGCAACCTATGTCCAGCTTCTGTTCCACTGCATGTTCGTGGCTGTCAGTAATGACAACACCGCATCAAAATGGCTTCAGCTACATTGTTTACATTTAGATTCTAACGATCTTAGTGAAAGAATGCATCCTCGGTTTTTCGAGGGTATTCAAAGTTCAGGTCAGTGAATCGGACACCCAAAATCCTCTGACAAAAACGGCATCTATTTTCTTATTCGTCGGGAGAAGTAGCCGACGAAATGCAGGAGCGTGTGTTGCTGCAGAGTATTAGCACACTTTGGTGAGTGCGGTGATTGAAGTGCATAATCCGTGTCCATAGTGTGAAGTCGGCTAGTTGACACTGATGTCCTATGGCTGTGTAATAATGACTCAAATCTAAATATTATGCTGATCGTATTTATATTCAGTGTATAGGATCTATTTGATTAAAATAGCCTCGTTCTAAAAGTGGAAAACAATGGTCGTTGGTCGACCAGAGGCAATCTCAGAGGTCATAGCAGCAATGAGTGTGAACTATTGGTTGGGCTCTATGTATGATTATTATTATATTATATGTTTAATATATTGGTATAGTTATTAAAGAAGAACTCGTTTCCTTAATGAAGTTTTATTTCACTAGAAAATGTAAGCGACACGCTGAAACAAATGAAAGGGAACTAATGTCAATACAGTATAACGATAACTGTCAGAGTTCTTTCTCTCCGTTAATATAACTAAATATCATAACTGTACAGTTATTTATCGTAAATAGTTCTTTACGAAACGATACGTTTGTGAGCAGTTGTGCTGGATTGTTAGCTACGCATGTTAGCTGCTGCCATGTCCTTTTAGTTTCATTTAATAATTGTATTGTTACTTGCCAAGGAGTTGTTTGTGCGTGCGTGTGTGTGTGCGTGCGTGCGTGCGTGCGTGTGTGTGTGTGTGCGCGCGCGTGCGTGCGTTTGCACCAATATTTGTAGTTTATAATATAACATGGAAAAGTCATAATCAGTACAGAATTTCGTGTTCATTATTTATTTGGCATTAAATGATGAACAGACTCTGTTTATTGTGTACTCTTGATATGTTTTGTATGATTTTTGTGCCAAGTTTGTGTCACTTATGTAATGTCAGTACTATCACATGTATATTCATTAAAATAAAAGACAATCCATTAATTTCATATCTGTATTATGTTTATCAAGTGTCAGTTGTTCAAGTGGGCAAGCTTTGTTGCCTAGCAATGCTCGACGTGGGCTATTAGGTTCGGGGACCGCGCACCCCAGAAATGTTTTGAAATTTTAAATGTAAAACCCGCAATCATGTTCATTCTTGATTATTTTAAACCATTATGAATCGGTTTGTGAGACATGCAATGCAGAGGACGTTATGCCGGTGAAATCGCAATCATCAGAATACGTTTTAGGCGATAATTTGTATTCCTGTTTTCATTCATAAATGTGTGGGAATTCCATGCTTTTCTCCCTCGCGTGAGAGAGTAGGATGACACCTAGTTGATTCTTACGTTTAAATTTGGACACCCAATTAAGTAATTTCAAAGTTTCAAAATATAAACCGTTGGAGGATAGGTTATGCTAAAGGGATAATGTATATATATATATATATAACCACTTGTTTTTTGTCTTGCTGGTTGAGAATGTCGAAACGGACGAAATGTTTTTTTCTGCTGAGTCACGGAATAGGTCGTAATACTCTGTATAATATGCGTATAAATCGCGTATGATAACGATATAGCACCCAAATTAAGAATGTCTCGTTATATAGATCGCTAAATTTAAAAAAACGATGCTAGCTTCTAGCAGCTTAAGGACCACGTCTTCTTTATCACTACATACACACACCCGTACGCATGCACACACCCGCGCGCATGCACACACAGATAGAAACACTCGCATTAAAAATTACAACACCTTTAATATATAAATGTACACTGCTATGGCGTTTACAGCAAATATTCACATTGATCCACCTGTTTATATCGTATACTACCTCAGGTGAGAAGAACCAATCACATAGCTTCAAGGTTGGCCATACCTGTTTATTATTTAGGTATGGGTGACATGACCGCGTCCATACATCAAGGCGCGTCGCTAAATGTTATATACATTGAGCAGAAAATTGCACAAATGGTAATTTCTAAAACCTTAAACACAGAATTCGGCCTGTATGTCATGATGGTATTATAATATTAGCTCTAGTTATACAGTGGCCTTCATTGCATTACGAGCACGCCCGAAAGCCCCCGAACAATAGCGAAGGTCATCTAAACTGTCCGCCATGTATACAAGGCAGGACCAACGCTGGTGTGACTAGGACGAGCGACTCAGAGCGACTACCCATGTTAAACTATGCGATCTGCTGTATGCACACACACACACACACACGCACACGCACGCTCACACGCTCGCACGCACGCACGCACACACACATACACACGCACACGCACGCACGCTCAACACGCTCGCACGCACGCGCACACGCACACGAACGCTCACCACGCTCCCCGCGCTCCACGCTCGCACGCACGCAGCACGCACACACACACCAATAGCACACGCCAACACGCAGCCACGCTCGGATCCCGCTCGCACGCACGCTCACACGCTCGCACGCATCGCTCAGCCACGCACCGCACGCAGCACGCAACGCACAGCACGGACGCACGCACGCACGCACACACAGCTCGCGGCGCGCAGCACCACACACACGCACGCACGCCAACACGCTCGCGCGCACACACACACACACGCACGCAAGTTGGGGCACCAGCGATTGTAAAAGTGGAGAGTCAAGACAAGGAAAATGTTGGGGGGCAAAATGTGTGTGATCGCGTAGGCGCAGAGAAACTAATGGGGGGGTGCCAGCGACAATGAGTCCGTGTGGGCGTCGCAGGGGGCGAAGCCCCCCGGAAGCCTTGAACTTTTAGCAATTTTTGAGGTTGAAATCCAAGCCTCTGTATGCAGAATATACACTCTGTATGAAAAAACACGCTTGTAGAGCATTTCTGACCCATATTCAAACCTTCTATATCTTACTGTAGTGCGCTAGTCGTGTAAATCAAGGCTTCCACGGAAATTGCGGTTTGCGGTAAAAATAAAGGGGAAAATCGTAGTGGCGAAATGGAATAAGAAGCGGATAATAGTTCGCAAAGATCGGAAGTGTTGGGAGAGTCTGTCCACTCAATAAAAAGTTCAAATTGATATAGCATACAGCTAGCTGTGACAATAAACCGCGTCGGCGGACGCGATTTGAAAATCTCAATGTTTGTAAGCACTTCCTCTGCTCTATCTACTCAATTAAGAACATTTCGTGATGGTATGCACCGCAAGTCTGCTCACAGTCGGTTATAAAGCTTTCTTGTGCGAGTTTAGTCCATTTTAAACCCCAGAGATGAAAGGCCAACATTTTGGGTCTATTGGAGTAAATCTTAATATTGTTATTTCTCCTGTCAGACCTCGTGTCTTGAAAAACTTTGTTTACAGGAGACTGACTGGGCGAGCAAACTGGGGGGGGCGGAAAATAGGTTTTGACTGGGGCATTTTGTCCCATGCCCTCCGTGGTGTTCGCGCCACGTGCGCACATGGCACACCACACACCACAGACGCATGGACCGCACAGCACGTGGCACACACACGCCCCGGACGCACGCGCGCGCGCAACACGCACGCAGCACACCACCACGCGCGACGCACACACACGCACGCACCACGCACGCCGACTCGCACCCTCGGACACACAATAATTATCCCCCCCCACACACACACACACATACAACACACACCGCACCGCACGCCACGCAACGCCGCTCGCTCGGCACACGGCACACATAAACACACGCACACATACACACACGCACACACGCCCACGCACGCACGCCACGCACGCACGCACACAACACCACGCACACACGCACACACACATCGGGAGTAAATAATCACATATTGTGATTATTTACTCCTGATATATATAATATAATATAATCGCAACTACTACATAAGCCTAATATATACCATTTAATCGATGGCCACGTGTTATGAGATTAGAAGCTATAATACACGACATCATGTGCTACGCGTTCACGATATCAAACAAGTTATTACAAAATTTCAGGCGTTATGAGAACGCGAATGGTTGCAGCGGTGCCGTGCCCGTAGCTCGTCGACATCTCGAGCGGCGCGCGGGCTTCCAGGTACAATAACCATGCATGACACAGCTACGCCTTAATCCAAGCAATTGCGCAATCACGACATTATGAAGAACGATAGAGGAAGCCTTTTAAATTCGTAGTAAACGTTCTTACAAATTCTTAAGCCCGCCGCACACGCTGTGGGAACTTGGTGCGCCAATTTGGATGCACTAATAGAGATTATATCTCTCATTAATCTCTATTATGTACTCTTGAAAATATCAAACACTGTGAATCACAACCCCCAGATCGAAGGATTATTGCATCCGCACACGCATGTAGAAATTGCTGTCGCGCACCTTCCACTATAGTGAACTTAGTTCCGCACAAGTTCACCGCATGTGTGTGCCGGCTTGTATCCTCTTTCCATCCACTTCATTTAAGTGCCGCTCTTTACTTCTTCCACCATGGCCATTCTCTGGCGTGTCTCTTTTTTTTTTTACAATCGGCTGCCTTTTATTCCGGGCGTCCGGCCTCTCTCCCGGTATGTGTGTGTGTGTGTGTGTGGTGTGTGTGTGTGTGCGTGTGCGTGTAGCGTGTGCGTGTGGTGGCGCGTGGCCGTGCGCGTGCGCTGGCGTGTGCGTGCAGGTTCCTCTCTTCGTTCTCTCATTACCCTCCACCTCATCTTTTTCATGTAGCATAAATCTTATCAGCTATCTGGTACTGCATGCCAGCTCCAAAAACATATATTCGATCGATTTCACTCGGATAATGATGTGCCATCAATCTTCTCATGGTATTACTATATTGTCTCTTTGATATCTTGGCTGGGATATCTGTAAATTGACCACATCAGCACAATTCTATGTAGCTAAGATTTTGTTCCGGTGGCTCAATACAATGAGATCATCTTTCCGACAAACATCTTGAAATCTCTGCCTCTAGGTTCATGCACTCTAAATCCTCTAAGATCTTAACACACACTGCAAGCATTTAAATTTCTACTCGTGATGACATCTACCACGATGCCGCGACTATCGAACAGTAATCATAGCATCGCCAACAGCTGATATGCAGCTCAGAAGCAGCGAGTGATTATCACTTCCTGGCAGGTAAGCGACGATCGCAGCATTGCGAGAATTTCGCATCCGTGTCGGCGCGTCTCTTTTTCGCGGACTGTCCAGACGGGCGTTGCTCCGCTGTCCAAGGCACGGTGAAATTCTCCCATGTGTTGTGTTAGTGATCCGCTGATGGCGACGTGCCTGCAGGTCCTCGATGAGCAACCGAACCACGCACTTACCGTGAGATCTCGGTCAGCACATCTTGCCACCTAACAACCAACATGGATTCACGTGAGAAGGCTCGTTCGAATAGTCGTGATATATTCAACGACTGAGGGAATTAAATTATAAAAACTAAAATAAAAAGAGGGAATTTAACACGCGTGAATTTAATACGTGATATTGCGGCATAGACGCGAAGGAACATCACGGCGCGGTCGTTTATGGTGACGCTAACAGTAACGATTGATGCTAACTCATGTAATGTTGACGCCTAACTTGAATGTTGACGCTAACTCTGTAATGTTGAATGCTAACTCCGTAATGTTGACGGCTAACTCATGTAATGTTGACGCTAAACTCAGTAATGTTGAGCTAACTTGAGTAATGTTGAACGCTATACTGAGTTCCTTAGGTAATGTTGACGCTAACTCAGTAATGTTGACGCTAACTCAGTAATGTGACGGCTAACTCAGTATATGTGATTATCGTTATCGCGTCATATCAGTAATGTTTGACGCTAAACTCAGTAATGTATGACCGCTAACCATCAGTAAATGTTGAACACTAACTTCAGTAATGTTGATGCAACTTCAGTAATGTTGAGCTAACTCAGTAAAATGTTGACACTAACTATAGGACCATCCAGTATTTTGACGGCTAACACTCGTAGCAAATGTTGGACCGTAACTCAGCAATGTTGAACCGGCTAACTCAGCAATTGTTGCTAACTCAGTAATATTGACGCTAACTCAGTAATGTTGATGCTAACTCAGTAATATTGACGCTAACTCAGTAATGTTGACGCTAACTCAGTAATGTTGACGCTAACTCAGTAATATTGACGTTGAATGCTGGGAATCGCTGCGACGTTAACGCTGAACGTTACGGTTGGTAGTTTTAGCTGAAGTGTGTCTTGAACGTTAACGGCAACGCTAACGACGACGGGAACGATGATGCTAGCGACCACGCTAAAGGTGATGCTAACGACAATGTTAACGACAAGGAAAGTTACTACGTCTACGTTCTCGTTTACGCGCTAGCAAAAATAAGCGCACTTAGTTCTCATGTCCGGAATGAATGAAGTTGTTTGTGTAGAAACTAAAAATGGTCTCTATAGCTGGTAACAGCTAGTTACAAGTCGAGTTATTACACTAGTTACTACTACTACATTAGTTACAGCTCTATAAGCTGGTTACAGGATGAGTTTTAAAATGGAATACCCTGACAATACCTCAAATTCGCCATCGTTGAACTTATAGTATTGAGATCCTCTGAAGAAGTAACTCTTCCCATTTTTCCATACGAATGTCGCATCTATTCTTGTCGGTAGTCCAACCCATACGGACATGTGCTTTGGATAGCCTGCGTCTAAGCTGTTGTGGCTGTATCTGTAGTATTGGTCATCTATAGCGAAAAGCACGAGTAAGTATACGCAATGCGATATGAAGTATTTTTTCGTGTAAGCAGATATCATGTTGCGACCGTTTTTTGAATTGCTATAAAGAGGAATTCAGTTAAGAAGTAAAGCACATGAAGTGCAAAAACAGCAGGAAAGATGAATATTCACCAATGTTTGGATTGTCAAGTTAATTTAGACTACATGCAAAAGTTTACGACATGGTTCAAATCATAAAGAGAATGGAAGAATATTTCTGGGTGTGAGAAAAGTCTCTGGAACAAGAACAACAAAGTACTCTTTGAACTATGAACTATTAACGCACAGATCTCACCAGGAGTTAATAAAGACAAAATTTGTATTTATTATTAACTCCTGATATCACCTATATACACAGATGAAACAGTTGCAAAGCTGCTACCAATCACAGAATATGTAAATTAAGTCACTTCGCATCTGACAGCAGCAGTTTTGTAGCCAGCATAGACGAATCCCTATAAACATGACACCTGTTAACATATCCCTATAAACATGACTGGTCTTCGAAGCTAGTACAACAATCGGTTGTTATCGCATACTCGTGTCTCTTCTACTCCGCTCATACAATTTTACTTTCCTAGCTTTTATAACTGTGGCTATATGTAACTAATCAACCGGATGCTATCTACGTGACACCCGAACTGTTTATGTCATGCCACATGGTGACATCCGGATGATGACGACCACGTTGTCGCGCGACCCCACTTTGCTCACACCTTTGATAAAGTAGGCCTTTCCGTTACCACCCCAGGCAAATGCAGCTGATATGTCAGCAGGAATTCCAGGAAACCCAACAGAGATGATCTTCGGGTATCCGGGCATCATTTCTTGATTCACAAACTTCCAATATTTATTTCCCTGCAGACAAAATAAACCATATATTTCTAAATTATATCTAATTATTCACGTGTTAATGTTTGATTTAAAAATTTTTTTCAATAGATAGATCAACGTAATTGACTAAAAGTGATGTTGATTAACGGATTAATTTTTTTTGCTCTATTTGATGATTAATTAAATCTCTAAATTGATTCTCATTAATTAACTGGTAGATTAATCAATCACTCTGCATGCTTACGCTTGAACTACGACATATACGACATATACACCTATAGCTAGCAATAGTACTAAATATGTAAGGCTAAACTTGGAAAGAACTTGAACAAGAATGAAAGAACTTCTCAACAAAGAAGTTTGGAAAATTCAAACCTTGAAGAAGAACGTCTTAGAATCGAAATTCTTGGAGGTAAGTGCTGCATCCAAGTCTCCCGGTAGACCATCCCAGTCATCAGCGATACGCTTTGGATAGCCGGGTTCAAAGCTGTCATCATTTAACTTCCAGTACCAATCACCTGTAATCAACGCACGGATAGTCACAAGGTATAGGTGAATTCAATATTCCGCCAACTACTAGGATAAGGCGTTCAACCGCGCATATCAAAAAAATTTCTGAACGCATATATTTGTATGTGTTTGCACGAATTCCTTGGCCGTCTGCATGTGTGTCTGTTTGGTCTCTCGATCCATTCATATGTGGCCTTGTCTATATGTCTGTTTCGTATTACGTGAATCACCTTTGAATACATATGTGCTATCATCCAGCGTCGTTGTGATGGCATCAATGCGTGGTGAGAGACAGATATCGGGCTTTCCAGGCGTCAACGTTGGGTGTGGAGAACTAGTCGTTGCTGATGGGGCAGCTGATGACTTTTTCTTGTCTTTATCCGCACCTGAACGACTAGATGCTGTACCTGGGAGCAAGGAAATCACCAATAAACAGAGCGCAATATAAGCAATAGCCTAATGCGTTGTCCCAAATGAAGTATTGGTCAAGGTTCTGATCATACCACAGCAGTGGGAATTGATGGCAAAGAAACGTATGCTGCAGCAATGATGCAGTCAGACATCATGTCACATCATGCATGGAACGATGCAGACATCATGTCACATCATGCATGGAACGATGCAGACATCATGTCACATCATGCATGGATCACGCACGCACACACGCTCGCGCGCACACACACACACACGCACGCAGTGGCGGCACCAGGATTGTAAAAGTGGAGGGGCAAGATCAAGACAAGGAAAAATGTTGGGGGCAAAATGTTGTGATCGCGTAGCGCGAGAACTAATGGGTGGGGTCCAGCGACAAAGTCCCGGTGGGCGTCCAGGGGGCGAAGCCCCCGGAAGCTCTGAACTTTTAGCATTTTTGAGGTGAAAAATCAAGCCTCTGTATGCAGAATATACACTCTGTATGAAATAAACACGCTTGTAGAGCATTTCTGACCCATATTCAAACTTCTAATCTTACTGTAGTGCGCTAGTGTTGTAAATAAAGGCTATCCACGGAAATTGCGGTTTCGCGGAAAAATAAAGGGGAAATCGTAGTGGCGGAAATGGAATAAGAAAGCGGAAATGTTCCGCCAAAATCGGAAGTGTTGGGAGGTCTGCCACTCAATAAAAATTCAAATTACATATAGCTAGCTGTGTAACATAACCGCGTCGGACGCGATTTTGAAAATCTCAATGTTTGTAGCACTTCTCTGGCTCAATAAGAACATTTCGTGATGTATGCACACTGCAAGTCTGCTCACAGTAGGTCTATATAAGCTTTTTGTTGCGAGGTTTATCCATTTTAAACCCCAGAGATTGAAAGGCAACATTTTGGGTCTATGGAGTAAAATTAATATTGTTATTTCTCCTGTGAACTGTGTCCTTAAAACCTTTGTACAGGAGCTGACTGGGGAGCAACTGGGGGGGGGGGGGCAAAAGTTTTGACTGGGGCATTTGTCCCCATGCCCCCCGTGGTGCCGCCACTGCGCACATGCACACCACACACACACACGCATGGACGCACGCACGTGCACACACACGCCCGGACGCACGCGCGCGCACACACGCACGCACGCACACACACACGCGCGCGCACACACACGCACGCACACGCACGCACGCACCCTCGCACACACATAATACCCCCCCACACACACACATACACACACACGCACGCACGCACGTACGCACGCTCGCTCGCACACGCACACATAAACACACGCACACATACACACACGCACACACGCACGCACGCACGCACGCACGCACGCACACACACACGCACACACGCACACACACACATCGGGAGTAAATAATGACCATTAGTTGTGATATTGCACACCGAGGGACGAGCGGACGTGAACAAAAAACGGTCAATGCGCCGTATCGGTAATTTTGACGCCGCCTGAACTCAGTTAAATGTTGATGCTAACTCAGTAGAATCGGTTGACGCTAACTCAGTAATAGATTGGACGCCCTAACGCTCATAATGTGACACTATCTAATGTCTAACCTCAGTTAATGTTGACGCTAACCAGCTACTTTGACGGGCTAACTCAGTAATGTGAAGGTCTGAACTCAGTAATAGTTCTACTGTAATTGCTAACCTCACGTACACGTTGACAGCTAACGTCAGCTAATCGTTGAGCACACAACAGTAATGTCTGACGCTAACTCAGTAATGTTAGACGACTAACTCCAGTATTGTCGCCTCGAAGCTTCAGTAATGTTGACGGGTGACTCTGACTCCAGTCGAGTTGCACGCTGACAAGTATAGGTTGAGCGTTTAATCTGATCGCTGCGAACGTGGCGCTGATCTCTAACTGAGATTCTGCTTGAACGTCGCTGTCAAGCAGTAACGACGCTAACGACGACGGGAAAGATGATGCCTGGAGCGACCTACGCTAAAGGTGAGCTAACGACAAATGTTAACGACAAACGGAGAGTACTACGCTCTACGTTCGTCGTTGTACGGCGCGTAGCAAAAGGATAAGCGCACTTAGTTCTGCATGTCGCGGCATATGAATGACAGTTGTTTGTGTAGAAGACCTAAAAATGGTTGTCATATAGCTGCTGTCACAGGCTATGTTAACGTCGAGTTATTCACTATTAGCTACTACTACACTAGTTAATGTCTATAAGCTGTGTACAGATAGAGTTTAAAATGGAATACCCTGAGCAATACACAAATTCGCCATCGTTGAACTTAATAAGTATTGAGTACTCTCGAAGAAGTAACTCTTTCCATTTTTCCATACGAATGTCGCATCTATTTCTTTGTCCGTAGTCCACCCATACGGACACTGTGCTTGTGGATAGCCTTGCGTCTAAGCTGTTGTGGCCTGTATCTGTAGTATTGGTCATCTATAGGCGAAAAGCACGAGTAAGTTATACGCAATGCGATATGAAGTATTTTTTCGCTCGTACAGCGATAATCATGTTGCTTGACCCGTATCTTTTGAATTGCTATAAAGGGAAATCAGTCTAAGAAGTAAAGCAGCGACGAAGTGCAAAACAACAGGAAAGATGAATAGTCCCGAATGTTTGGAATTGCGAAGTTTAGACTAAATGCAAAAGTTTTACGACATGCATGGGTCAAATCATAGAAAGAGAATGGAAAGAATATTTCGGGTGTGAGAAAGATTACTCTGGAACAAGAAGCAACAAAAGTACTCTCTTGAACTATGCACTATTAACGCACAGATATGCACCAGGAGTTAACTAAAGGACAAGGCTGCGAAAATTTTCTTTATTAACCGATCCTGATATCACCTATATACCCAGATGAAGCGTTTTACGTGATATTATGATGCCAAGGAGCATATACCGAATGCAAAGCTGGGCTACGCAATGCACAAAGGAATTATGTAAATTAAGTCACTTCGCATCTTGACAGGAGCAGTTTTGTAGCCAGCATAGACGAATGCCCTATAAACTGACACGCTGGTGTCTTCGAAGCGCCAGTCACAAGCAATCGGCTTGTTATCGTATACTCGTGTCTCTTGCTAGCTCCGCTCATACAATTTTACTTTCCTAGCTTTTATAACTGTCGGCTATATGGTAATAATCAACGCGGATGCTATTACGTGACACGCCGAACTGTTTATGCATACGCCACATGGTGACATCCGATGATGACGACACCGCACGTTGTCGCGCGACGCCCCACTTTGCTCACACCTTTGGATAAAGTAGGCCTTTCCGTACCACCGCACAGGCAATAGCAGCTGATATGTCACAGGAATTCCAGGAAAACCACGAGAGAGTGATCTTCGCGGTATCCGGGGCATGCCTTTCTTCGATTCACAAACTTCAATATTTATTTCCCTGCAGACCAAAATAAACCATGAATATTTGCTAATATATCTAATATTCACGTGTTAATGTTTGATTTTAATGTACCGATCAATAGATAGATCAACGTAGATTGACTAAGAAGTGATGTTGATTAAGCGATTGGATGTTTTTTTTGCGGGTCTATTGATGGATTAATAAATCTCTAGACATTGATTCTCATCTAATTAACTGGTTAGATTAATGCAATCACGTCTGGCCTTACGCTTGGAACTACGACATATACGCAGCATAACACCTATAGCTAGCAATAGTACTAAAATCTGTAGGGCCTTAAACACTTGAAAGAACTTGAACAAGAATGATAAGAACTTCTCAGCAAGAGTTCTTGGAAATCAACGACCTTGAAGGAAGACGTCTTAAGAAATCGAAAATTCTATGAGGTAAGTGTGCAATCCCAAGTCTCCCGAGGACCCATGCCCAGTCATCAGCCGATACGCTTTTCGGATAGCCGGGTTCGACAAAGCTGTCCATCATTTCAACTTCGCAGTACGCACATCACCCTCGTAATTCACGCACCCACGATAGTCACAGTATAGGTGAATTCAATATTACCGTCAACTACTAGGATAAGGGCGTTCAACCGCGCATATCAAAAAATATTTCCCGAACGCACATATATGTGTATGTGTTTGCAGCGAATTCCTTGGCCGTCTGCATGTGTGTCTGTTTGGTCCTGCCGATCCATTCATATGTGGCCTTGTCTAAATAATTGTCTGTTCGTATTACGTGAATCACCTTTCGAATATCATATGTGCTATCATCCAGCTGTTTGTGCAATGGATCAATGCGTGTGAAGACAGATATCGGGCTTTCGCGCGCCGTCAACAGTTGGGGTTGGAAATCTAGTCGTTGGCTGATGGGGCCAGCTTGGATACTTTTCTTGTCTTACCGCACCTCGAACGACTAAGGCAGGCGTACCTGGGAGCACAGGAAATCACACAATAAAGGGCAGAGAGGCTCGCAAATAAAATCAATAGCCTAATGCGTTCGTCCCGAGAAGATGAAGTATTGGTCAATGGTCTGATGCATAACACACGCATGGGCAATTGAATGGCAAAGACGTATGCGGCAGCAATGAATGCAGTCAGTCATCCATGTCCACATCATGGCATGACGAATGCAGAACATCATGTCACATCGCATCGCATGGATGATGCCAGACCATGCATCGTCACATCCATGCATGGAATGATGCAGACAATCATTAGTCACAATATCATGCATGGCAACGATGGCAGACATCGTGTCACCATCACTGCATGGAACATGGCAGACAATCGCTCGTCACATCATAGCAATGGAACAATCAGACATCGTGTCAGCATCATGCATGAACGCACCTGCACAGACAATCGTGTCACTTATGCATGGAATGATGCAGACATCGTGTCACATCATGCATGGAGATGAATCCAGACAGACCATCATGCCTCACATCAGCATGGAACGATGCAGACATCCGTGTCACACTTATGCCATGAAGCAATGCAGAACTCGTGTCACATCATGACCATGGAACGATCGCAGACATCGTGTCAGCAGGTCGATGCGCAGTGGAACGATTGCAGACATTGTGTCACATTTATGCTGGCAATAATGCAGACATCATCGTTAGCATCAGTGCATGGAATATATGCCAGACGATCATGTCACATCACGCACGCGAAACAATGCAGCACATCATGTCACATCATGGCCAATGGAATGGATGGCAGACATCATGTCATCATCATGCATGAACGATGGCAGTTACATCGTGTCACATCATCCATGGAACAATGCAGCGGATCTCGCTGTCACCTTATGCATCGGAATCGATGCAGACCATGCATCGTCCATTCATGCATGAAATGATGGCAGAACATCATGTCACAGGATGGCATGGAACGATGCAGACATCGGTGTCCAGCATCATGCATCGGAACAATGCAGACATCGTGTCACCATTATGCATAGAACCGATCAGCACATCGTGTCACACTCATGCATGGAACGCCCGCAGAGACATTGTGTCACATTACTGCATGGAAATAATGGCAGACGATCATGTTACATCATGGCATCGGAATAATGCAGACATCAATGTTAGCGTTCAATGCACCAAAACAATGCAGACATCGTGTCACATCATGCATGGAACGATGCAGATATCATCTCACATTGCGCATGGAATGATGCATTCACCATGTAACCCGTGCATGCAATGATTGTGTCGTACCGTAAAGTATCTGTATAGCCTCCACGTCGTCTCTGTGAGTGTAGTTGTTTCCTCGTAGCCACGATAGAACGGAGCATGATGGCGTTCGTTCCTTTCATCAGAATGCGACAGTCCCAACGAGTGGCGAGCTCGTGCGACGCTACTTGGAACAGATTCGTGCCTGAAATCGTTTCCAATTTTTATCACGTTAATGCTCAGAATATCTTTGTTTTCTGCGCCAAGTTATTGCATATCGTATTTAGCGAATCGGTGACTGTGCAGCACTGCTAATTTTTTGCGAAAGGTGTCAATTGAAGTAAATATAGTATTGCTTGTTCAGCTTTCTTTCTGTTTTTTACACTAGCCGGGGGGGGGGGGGGCTTCGGTCGTTGTTGTTAATGATATCAAGCTTTC